CTTACTTTTTAGATTCGTGTACTTACAAATTACGTTGCAATTGTTTTGCAGATTCCGACACGGAGAGCGATGATGGCTCGTCGAACCGGTTAAACTTTAACATCATCCCCTACACGGTGAGTAACTAATTTTTCCGTACGCGAATAGAACAGAGTGGAAACGATTGGAAGTCAAGGAGAAGGCGAACGTAACCTCTGCTCGAAAACGCGTAGATATTTGCCGGTCGATTCAATCTGTTACGATGCCGTTGATTTATGCACGAATAGTTCGAAACATCGCCTACAAGAAATCGTTCATAATATTTCGAACAGACACCGGAATCATTGAAATCAACGAACGTAAAAAATGACGCTCGTCATTTTTTAATTAATTTCATAAGTAGATTTCTGGTTATCCAAAAAGAGATTCAATACACTTCTGTTCAGGTCATAATTTAGACTCGCTGGTATATTTTTCTGTAATTTTACATTGAATCTTAAATCAGTGAGTAGAAGTCATGACGTGAACAAGAATTGTTGCTATAATAAAGATTATTAAAATTGATCACGAACGAAACTCGTTACGGCTATCTTTACATAGACTGAAATAGAATGTATATAAAGAAATTTATTACGCGGAAGACGCTTCCCCTTCTTATCTTTCGTTGATCGAGTGATCAACGACTTCAGATTATCTAAACATGTACCACGGCGCTGTTATCATAGTCGATCTCGGTTGGAAGAGAACGTCTTGTGAAACAGAATCTGCGCACTTTTCGCATACGTATGTAAGTAACTCGGATTTAATTTTGCAAATGCGGGTCGCTGTGCGTACGCGCGTTAAATTGACCAAGCGCGGTAGACTCGCGTTATGTCATGGCGCGCTTGTACTTTCTTGAGCGTGCACGCGAGCCTTTCGTAAATGGACGCTCACTTTCTCGGCGAGCATGCACGCGCTGCCCGCGAGTAGTAATCGATACGACGCGACGCCTTACGAGGGGGAAAGAGTTAACGTGGTAATCGAATGGGTTCTTATGAAAGCGTTATGTCTTGACCGTTGGGCAAACAAGCAGGTATTAGATCAGACCGGTCACCGTTACTTTCTTTAGTCCAGCCTTGTGAATCAGTTTTTTTAAATACCTCTAAGGGAACTCTGTCGGCAATAGAAATCAGTGCTAAGTTGTGTAAAAAAACTTATTTAATATAATACGACGACGATGACAGCCAAGTTCTAAATAAATAGGGGAGTTAAACAAGGACATTACAATACTTTATAATATTTTACACCTTTTTATAGTTTACCTGGATTCGATTTATAACAGTATTAAAACATGCAAACAGGTAGATTGAAGATAAATGGCAATAAAATATTTGTAGTATTTTACATTAAATATTAAAACAGATTTTTATATCTGGATTCAATTTAAAATGTTATTCAAAATGAATATGCAAACAGGTAAATGGCAATAAAATACTGTTGGTTAATGGATTAAATAAAAGAAACTTATTCGAAGTAATCTTTTATTAAAACACTTGAAGTGAGGAAGAACCTGCCAGAAAGTGTTCGGGCCTTATCAGAGAAAACCGATCCCGACCATGCACAATGTTTATGACAAGGCCTCCAGTAATACATAGTAGTTACATGCAACTGATTGGCATAATAGCGTCGTGTATAAACAGCTCGTGCCAAGGCTAGAGTTTCATTAAACATAATATTCATTTATGTTATCAGGATTTATAAATAATCTAACAAATACTGTAACTGGTGTATGTATTGAGTCGATCAGAGAATCATCTAATTCAGTGAATTCTCCGGAGAAATTTCTCCGGCAGACGTCTTTCTCTCGTCTCCGGAGCCAGATTTTCTAATGAAATCGACGCGAGAAAGAGCCGCTTCAGGGAGCGGAAGTGCTCTGGCGACGAGGAAGTAAAATCGTTACATAACAGGCTAACTCCGTAAACTCCAGCGGAATTCCTTTGGGCTCGGAGATCGATTCCACGCTAATCTCAGCTAGAACACAGCGAACTCCTGAGTAAATAATTCTACATTCAATCGAATCGAACATTAAGCACACTGATGGTTAATTCATTGATTTCGTGAGATTATTTAGGAGGATTGAATCGAAGAGAAACTCTCGTTCACTAAGAATTTATATACAAAGATGTTCGTAGCTACGTCTCAAGTTCTAGAATATTTCCAACTGGTTATTGTGTTTCAAAAAGTCTAGCAAATATTCGAAATTATTAAATATCAGAGACTATCTCAATTGAAAGATTCTACGTAGTAAATTATGTAGCCACAGCTGTGTAATAAATCATGTAATGATTCATGAACAGCTTCAGTAAAACAGTAGCTGAAACAGAAGACTAAACAATTTTAACAAGTGCAATGAAAAATACTATAATAAATTCAACATGCTAGCATCCTGTACATCCTTAACAGTATATAAATTATATAATAATTAAACTGCCAGGCGCTCGCATTGCCGCGCGCGAAAGTCGGTTTACAACCAGGAGAAGAGAAAAGACAGTCGGCAACGCGATCGGTTGCAATACAAATGTTACAAATCGCATCAACGAATATTTTACAACAATTTGATTACAATCTGCAACGTCTTGCAGTTTATCATCTTAAATGTGCTAGAATCTCCGAATTATCCAGAACGCTTGGGATATCGTCTACATCAGCTGTTTTCGTCGAAGTGTATCGGGAACAGATAAGAGAACCTGTCTTACCGGATTACAGAGACATTAATCGAGGAATGACGACGTGTACGGGGCGAAACGGGGGCCATAAGGTGGCGTTCTAATCGTCGATAGGTCCAACCGCGATTACAGCAGAGGACGCGCGGATTATAGGGCAATCATGGACATTCTGAGTACCGTTGCTTGGGATAATGGAAGGATCCCAGCGCGACGGAGCTTCGCAAGAACTTTCTATAACGGTCTGCGAGCCATTGAATATCTAGCGAGTAGCTCCAGTCTACGCGTTTATGTAACGACTTACGTGCTCGTTATACGTGATATTAAATTGCTACCTCGGATCATTATTAGTTTGCTCGTCGGACCTAATAGTCAGAGCAGCAGTGATTCAGATTTTCTAACTATCGCAGGGAAACTTTTAAACACGATTCTAAAGACCGTTTGAGACACTCGGACTGCGAAATCTTCCTTTGACGAGGCTCTCGTTAAAAAGACGGTCCATCTCGCTGAACCGTTCTCTTCCTTTTTTCTTTCCTCCGCGGGGAATTCGAGCGTGTCAACGAGTGACTCGTCCTTGAGCTGGCTGAAAGCAGCAGCGATGACTCGGCGAGAATTCGCGGAAGACCACTTTTCAGCGGAAAAAGCGTGGAAAAGTCGGACTGCCGTAATAAAGTATGAGAACCGGGTATCGATAACGGCGCGGCGGTGTGCGAAAGTGCAGCGGCGGGGAGGATTCATTAAAAAAGTCCGCCACTTGGGAAGCTGGCCTGAAGGATTCGTTCACGCCCGAGAGAACTCAAAGAGTCTGAATGAGAGACTCGATGGACAGGGAAAACGAGCGAATCTTCCTGTGCGCTTTGACGACGTGACGACACCATCTCGTTATTTCTTAAACCATTTGAATTATACACTGACAACAATAAATATTCCAGCAAAAATTAATACAATTTCCGTAATGTAATGTTTCATATGATTGTTGGTACAATAATTCATACAATTTGTGATAGAATACTTCATATAATAATTGATATAATGTTTCACCTAATGATTGATATAAAATTTTAGCTAGTGATTAGATATAACGCTTAATAGAATACTTGATATAATGTTTCGTATAATGGTTAATACAATAAACTATGCACTGAGATAATTGATAATACCCAATAATAGTAAAATCAACAAAAGATAATTATACTTCATATTGACTCATCCTGTATAACTGTTTTAGTGACAGTGACCACAGGGAGTATATAACTATGTAAACGGGTTAATTCGTTGTGACTAATCAAAACACGAAAACTTTCATTTCTCAGGCTACCTAGAATCTCATTTGATACGAAAACCTCGTCTCTTTCTACCCTACCACGTGAAATTATGTTTGTGTTATGTTTCAATCATATGAGAATATTTTCTCACGATATTACGCAATATCCTAGAAGGGAATCGAGTTGTTTCAAACGGAATGGAGTTAATCATCCCGCAGTTAATTGATCAATAAATTAATCGAAATTCAGGGAGACCCTCGTCGGTCGTCGGACGATTAAATTCCTTTCTCACCTAGTTACCTGTAGCGTCTTATCGTCAGATAATAGGATTCGAACTGCTGTCCGGTTGCTGCAGAAGATAAGGACAATAATTCTGGTGAAGAGGGGCTACATTAAAATGCGGATTGCCGAGGTCGAGCAGAGCTATTATCGAATACATGAACCGCGAGAATGCGGCGTACGACCCTGAATAAAAAGCTCTTGGCGGGTAAAGATGCGGGACGGTGGGTATATAACTCGGCTACCAAAAGAAAAGATGGTAGAAGAATCGGGACAACGGCAGCTTTCTTCTTCTGTCAATGGGCTCTCCCTCTCGGCAGCAGTGACTCTCTGTGACTTGCTTACTTATTACGATGCCAATTTGACATGCAAATCGTAATCAGAACGGCATCGATTGTTTTCCAATTATTTAATAGTATTTTGTGCGTGTCATTAATGCATTTAACATTAATTTCCTTAATCGAATTTATTTATTCTTTTCAAATGTGTACGTTTATTTTTCATATGAATAATTTGAATTAAGTTGAGTATCACTGAAACTAAAGACGCAGATACTGAAACAATGCCGAGTCGCCTTCTTGCTCTGCCTTTTCTGCAAAACATCATCCCCTTTCTTGTTAGTCCCCGTTCTTTCTTCCGCGCCTTAAAAGCTTCATCACCCCGATCCGCGCTTTTTTGTCTTCCCTCTTCGATCTCGCTTCAAGCCGCACCACCGTTCTCTCCTCACCGACATTGCTTTTTACGACCTTGACTTCTTCTCTTTAATTAATCATAATAAGCAGTCAAATGTTCGACAGATTATTTCATTATCAATTTAAAGATTTTCCTACGATTAAATCATTTAACATAAGACCGTGAATTTTTATTCAAAATTAAATTTTCTGAAAGATACTTTGAATAATGCAATCCATTTATACTGACTTTTCATTTTTCTATAATCGTATAAAAATCTGCAGTCTAATAATCATTCAGAACTTCGTAACATTTTATGAGATTATTAATTTGAGAAATTTTTGGAAGGAACGAACGAAGAATAGTCAAGCATTAAGTAAAGAGAAACAAGATTAGAATAATTAATGATTTTCCCTGGCACATAAATTACGTTTTATTATTCATTTGCGACAACCGCTGAGAAATGGAGCAAACGAGACGCATTCTGTTATTTAATACGCGATATTAATTGTACGAGTGTATCGATTACGCGGTACGTCGAACGTTCTTTCTTTAGAAAGATATCTGCTACCAATAAATGAGTCATTGATCATTTTCATGTACACCCTGTTCAAAAGTTTGGTGCATATTAGATTCTCACAAGCATAATACCCTTTCTGTGTAAAATAAATATTTTATTTATAATATTCAACTTTGCTAGAACTAAAATGTTAATTAAGTATATATAAAAGTGAAAGTTAAGATTATATTATTCTTATCAGAAAATCTATGTTATGGCACGCACACCATCTAATATAATCTGATTTTCTCTCACAGTGGATTGAGTCGGCATATGGTCAGGCATTAGTCTCGGTGATTCACCGATCCACTTTGCCGTAAAGAGCGTTTCAATCGCAAACGCGTAGCTATTGACATGGATAATAAATGATAATACAGCATAGAAAGTGGGCATGGAAAACTAATAACGGAGTATAAAACCGGAAGGGGAAGTTTAGTAAGCAGCAGCATTTATTGACGTTTAGCTATTCTACCTTAAGACTGTAATTAATGTGGACATCGTTTAAATGAGGCATCGCTAATTAAACATTATCCACCGGATGCGTATTGTCTATGAATGTCGAACCGTCATTAATCAGGCTGCGGCAAAGGTCGTCGAACGCGGATTTGCATAAGAGGCGTAATATACCTTGTCGAATGGAGCCGCCTCGAGTCCCTCCTTTCAAGGAATTCCATTTTCTGCTGCCCCGATATCTTCTTGCACGCCATTTACGCCGGATCATGCAAATAGCCTAATGGCACCAGCGACCATCGCCAAGAATTTACTCACGACTGCTAGGAAAACGTGAGCATAATCGAACCTGTTCTCTGGTGCACATTGAGAAAAATTTGTTCTGAAAATAATTTCCATGAATTGACACTTACTTCATTCACATATTGAGTTGTTTGAGAAGTGGAAGTTGAATTAAACATTAAAACAAATTCTGTCTTAATTTTCTGTGAAGTACGTAAAATCGAATAGCATGAATGCATATTTTGCACTATTTTTAGGGACAGAGTCCTCAAGTTGCATGACAAATGGTGGAAAAATCAGCACACAAATAATTCAATAAAATATATCAAAATTTAAATGCTCTGTATTTAAATTTTCTATAAAACCGGACAGTCAAATATTTTTTGTGAGATTGAATTTTCCTTGCAAAAATGCTGCTCAGTGGCTGACGCGAAAACCGATGAAATCGACCGGATGGAACCGGAACAGGAACGGAAAAATTCGATTTACCTCGGCAAGAGCCACGGGCGAAGGAACAACCGGATGAAACGAAACGTTAAACGTCGACGCTGAAATACGGGGCATATGGTGTACAGAGATAACGTTTCACAGAGCGTTGCACCGTAATGTCACAGAGAGGAACCCTGCAAGATGATACCGTTGCCACTTCACAGACGTTCGACTGCAATGAACCGTTACGTGAACATTGTAGTATTGTGTTTCAGGAACTGTCACGCACATTACGTTATCCCGTTGCAGAACGTATTGTGTCTCATGACGTGACGCGCTGTTACGTAAACTATGCTCTGCATAATTTCGCAACACTTTGAAACATTTCAGAACGACACTTTCATACCTTACTGATAGAGCGGGTCAGTCTTCTTCTATTAGTCCTTGATAAAACATAATACTTAAAAGACTACTTCAAAGGATAATTATTAAAGTTGTATGAAAAATTGTCAAAAATATAAATGTGCATGCTATATATTCAAAGTCGTTGCTTATTCTTAAGCAAATGTTTAAGGATGTATAGGCTATATACTTAAACAATGCTAACATGTTGAATTTGTTATTATAGGTTCCTATTACTATTAAAAAGCTACCTGCAAAATTTTAAATNCCAACGGTTTAGGAGTTATTGAGGAAAAACGAAATTGTTTTCCAAAAATTCGCCATTTCGACGCTGGGATGGTCGGATTTTGTCAACATCAATAAAATGCCATATAATCATATGTAACTCATTAAATATCGAAATTAGAAGAGAAGTACACTATTTTTCCGAGATTTTTCCAAAGGGGTACCCCTTCAGATTTCGCGAAATTTTCGTTTTTTGTCAATAACTCCTAAACGGATGGACTTAGGGGAAAATTTATATTCTATGAAATTCATTCCTGGGGTCATACACGGGTCTATCATTGAAATAATGCTATCGCTTATATTACTTCTTCGATGGGATATAATCAGGTGTTTGGGAATCGAGGTAAGTAGCAGCTTATGACGTTACGTCGGCAACGGTCCATGAAATTGGGTGTCACCGATGTTTGCCAGCTTCGGAATCCCGCTGGTACCCCTTCTGGCACGTCGACGACGCGCGTCCAGACGTGCGATCATTACCAGTGCCTGTGCTACGACAGAAACCTCTCACGATCGATGATCGCCGATTGGCTTTCAGGCCAATCTGGGGTATCGATTCAACGAAGCATACCATCTATTATTCACAACGCTGACCAACGATTTGCATTTAAGATTGACTGACCCTAAGTAAAGCATGTGACTGGCAGTAAGGCTGCGATTTCCGGCCTAAAATTTAAATAAATTGAGGAAATTCAACATCTTTGCATCCAACTTTCTTACGACTCGACGTATCTTTATGAAACTTTGCGTGTGCATATGACATCCTTAGATATGCGAAAAACATGTTTTAAATTTGTATTACAGAGTCAAATAAAAAACTGAAAACTTGTTCTCTTTATTTATTTCTTCGTAAATCCGACCTGAAACATATACCGATTTTTGTAATTATTTGTTACACATCGTGTAGTAAATAATCTCTTTAACACTTTGAAAAAAAATTAATTCGTCAAGTCCAATATTTAAAAAGTTGTACATATAGGAATATTTATAGACTCCGTTGTAAGTCTAATCCAAAGGCCTCGCCCATGTTAAAGTCAATAGAGTTGCGTACAATAGAGCAGCGTGCCTCTCTCCTTATTAGACTCGTCCGTCAACTGTGTCAGCTAATCGTGTAATTTGTGCCTCGATTTTCTTTGTCACAGGTGGGCGACAGGGACACGCTGACGTCGGTGGCCGCGAGGTTCGACACGACACCGTCCGAACTGAGCAAATTCAACAAGCTCGGAACCACTTTCATTTACCCCGGTCAACAGTTGTTGATACCGGTGAACAATGTGGAAGGAGAAGGTCGGACCAAACCCGGAATCGACGCGCCTAGCCCGGTTCCTTGCGATCACGAATCCCAGGATGATCTACCTCCAGAAGAAAAAGGTAATTCGATGAATATAAATTTATGTTTTCTTAGAACTACAGAAAGCTAAGCCAGTAAGTAGCAGTTGTGACGTGAACAGAAAGTGGAAGTTACCTTGTGCGTCGAACAATAATTGTAACATGTAATCCATCTGTGTTCTACTCATTGTAACAACGCTGACGATAACTTAACGAACATTGCGTGAGATTATATTTCATTGCCAGTACACCTTAAGCAACGCGACCTCGTTTTTGCAATTATAATTCCTCGCGCAGGAGTTCGTTATTTATATTGTATAAACTTGAGGGAAGATATGATCCCCAGCAGACGAGCACTCAAAATTCAAATGAATTCTTGTTAAGACAAATCGTGTCTTCAGATAAGAGGAATTTCCTCCACTCGAAACTCAAGTATCGGGATGTTTCTCGAAGTTGTAATCAAACTCGATCGCATTATCTTAATTCCTATCTCGCGATGGTAGACAGCAAGCAGCTGTTCAAGAAAGGTATCACGTGCGTTACCAACATGGTATGTATGTAAGTGGCAATAAACGAAGGTGAGTGAGCCGGGTATAAACTTTCGTTACACCCGTGACAAAACACCCTGACATTACATTATGCAGGAATTAGCATTAAAATGATTACGGCAAGTCGTTGTTATGGGTTGTACGTTACGGCGTTAATGTAACGTCAAGTAGCGAACGCCAAGTCTTATCTATCGACGCGTGCATAGATCGTCGTTAATATTCGATACGAGGCTTCGTTGATACATAGAATCAATACCCGATTCATCTTGATATTTGGCCAGGTGAGTCAATCGAGCCCACTCGCTTATATTGCCTCGGCGTTCTGTTCAATTATTCATAAAGCGGCGTTCGAGCCAATTTTGCTTTCGAATTATATTCGTATGTCAGATCGATGGGTATTTCGATCCACGTACTCTTTGTTGTGGTTCGTTAAAAGTTGTTGCATACGTCGCTCGTGAATCATAGAGAAACTATAAACGCATTCCCTCGATAGGCTACCGTAATCACATTGCAAAATACGTACTAATCTTGGTAAGAGTAAAAATAGTAAGCGTGACGCAATAATTACGCGAGTTATCGTTGGAATACCGTGAAAAATTAGTAGTCTGATCCTTTGAAAGGAGATTTTTTGGTCCTCGGTGACTGCGAGATCAAAAGTTGGTCACTTATCGTTTACGTAATCTTATCCTTCTAATTAATTCAATTTACGATCTTGCCTTTTAATATGAGTTACATTTCTAATTTATAAAAACTGAATGAAATAGTTTAATCGCTATTTTATTGTTCACAGAATTGTTGGACAGCTTGAGGCCGGTGTCACCGAAACCTCCCATAGAAAGGGTGAAGACCCCTCAAGGTGTTACGTGCTCAGTTATAGAAGAACAAGAGCAACCGTTTAAAGAAAGATTCCTGAAAATTAACGTTCGCCATATCACCGATGGTCAGGTAAGATTCATCTTCCCGTTCCTTTTTTATTTATTTGTACGTGTAAATCTGATTACGTTTTTCACTTCAGGGCGTCGTTGGTGGAGTGCTACTGGTAACGCCGAACGCGGTCATGTTCGACCCGAATGTTTCCGATCCGCTGGTTATTGAACACGGAGCTGAATCTTACGGCGTTATCGTATCGAAGGAATTCATAGTGAACGCTGCGATTTACTACGACATCGCGCATATGCGTGTTGGACACACGGAATCCGGGAAGCTGGACAAAAAGCCGGAGATTTATTACATGAAGAAACCCTCGCAGAGCGAGGAGGTCAAGTGTCAATCACCGGAGAAGGAAGAAAGTTTCCCGGAATTGGCTGCGACGGACGACAGCGAAAACGTGTATTGCACCGAGAGGGACGGAGATGCGTTTCCAAAGGCCTTTGAGAGAGACCTTGTCACTCCCACCAATCTTGAAAACGTACGTAAACATATACGTTCATGTCATATTCCATTTCATCGATATTAAACGAAACTTCATCTGTTGCATAGGAAGAAGACGCAACGGCAACCAAAGAGAAAGAAAAGGAGAAAGAAGAGATTAAAGAGGACACTGGTGGTGGTCAAGCAAGTAGAACGTTAGAGGAACGTAGGCGTTCTTTGCTTGACCATCATTGGCCGATTCCTAGCAAGGATCAGCAACCGTGGCCAGTCGAAGACGAACAACAGAATTCATTGAATTCTGAAAAAGTAAGTTCACAATACGTCACTAAACATTTATTTTAATGAACCGAGGAAGGAAGGCAGGAATTAACGAATATCGATGTTTACAGACAGACAGCGTAAAATCGAAGCCGATACCGGAAGGCGAAGAAGGATCTCTAGTCAAACTGTCATGCCACGACTCTGGTATTGACATACGTGACCCTAATCCCCCTTTCCCAGTAGTTCAGCCTAACCCTACAAAGAAAGTATACTCAGACGCAGATATTGTCTTATCTTCAGATTGGGTGCCTCCTATTACTATTGCCCCAACGAACGTTACGACTGATTCACTAGACAGTGGTTCTGCCGTAAACGGTAGAAAAAAGGCGAGTTCGGTCTCTTTTAGCTTAGACAGTAATAATGCGGAGGAACCCGAGAAAGATGAAGAGCACAAAGACGACGACAAACAGGAGACTCGTAGGAATAAGGCACGTAAATCAGTATCAGTCTCGTCCGTTTATTTCGTCTTGCGTTATACTTGAACGCTCATTGTCTTGGTTGCAGATGTTGAAACGATTATCGTATCCTTTGTCGTGGATGGAAGGTTTGACCGGCGAAAAAGAAGACGATAAATCTGGATCTGATAAAGTTTCGAGTCTTCCTAATAGCGCGGACTCTCATCACTCGTCGGTTTTCAGCAAAGTTTTCTCAAGGTGATAATCTCTTTTCCTTGCTAAGTTCAGAAAATTCTTCGAAAAACCTTTTTTCTAATTCTTATGGTAAAAATAACTCTGTAAGGTTAATGATATGCTTTTACAGTTTTTCTTTATTCTATTCGTGTATGTTAAGAATGAGTAATTCGATGAAAGAAAATTTTGCTTCCTTATTACGTATACATGAGAAAAGGTCTCCGATGCCCGGGCCTTCTTTATGATGTAACGTTTGTTTTTTATATAATTGCTTTCTGCTGACATTTTGTTTAGGACTTAAACTGACGTTATAGCAAATCTGAGGGCGTTCATAATGAAATGCAGTTTCATTTGAGAAGACATGAGAGTGTCAAAAAAATATCTTCGCTGTTCCGAGAGACGCGTTTAATTATGAATGCCCTCATTTATTATGATTAGAATATTTATTAGATTTTTACGCGTAGAAGCGAGCGGCTTATTGCATTTGCGAAACACGCTTTGGGATACGTATTTTTCTTTACTCGATTTCTGAACAGAGTAAGCCACTCAAAGGAATGGACGCGTGTGACGTTTCCAGATCAATCCAAACGTTGTTCCTGATAACCCTGTACCATCATAGTCCGTTATCAAATATTTACTATTTTTTTTTTATAATATATCACTAAATGATACGCAGAATCTGAATGTGAAGGCACGCAAGACATTTCGCGCCCGTAAGTAAGAAAAGGAAATTAGTAAGAATGCGGTAGAAATTATGAGTAAACAAAAAATAGGAAATATTAGAATTGAAGATATTGTAATACAAGGATGTCGATTTTTGTATCAATCAGACTGTGATGGTAAATCTGTGCTAACCATAAAGCTTAACTGTCGTTTCCAATGTGACTAACAAAGAATATGTAATGGTGGTGGATATAAGCTCGCCGATCAACCTGGTGAGTGACTTTAGCTCGGGCCTGTTTGCTAAAACTCCCAGCGATGAGAGCGGCGGGGGCGGTAGGGCCGGAGGAACGCCTCCGCTTACCGCCTCCTCTCTCTCCCAGGACTCCACCAATCCTCAGATTTCACCTGGTCCAGGAGGGCTTATGGGGTGAGTTTGGGCCCGATCATGACCGAGCAAATTATATTGTATCCACGTCGACCCACTTCGTCCTCTTTTTATTTTACTTTTCTATCTGCCCGTTGTTGTTCCACTCTCTCTTCTCTTTATATCTGACCGGCTGTTGCATTTTATATTATTTTTTTCTACCGTTGAACGTTTGTCTTCTTAAGCCGTAGCATCTCTGAGGCAGCAGCGAGCAACTTTTTGTCGCATATTTCTTAAAGAGGTTCTCTTTTGACGCTGATTGTTCCTGCAGATCGTCGTGTTTCTCTTTCCGGCAACAAGCGATTTTGTTGCTTTAGTGTGGAGAACACGTTACTGCAAATAGCAGTTTATTGGAAATGTCTAAGAACACGTAGTGATGAAATGTTCCTCGACGTTGCTTCGGTGAGGCCGCAGCTTTAGATCTTTAGTCTGTTGTCTTTGTCAGTGTTTTCCTACAATTATACTACTCAAAAAAATTATGGCATCACGAAAGTTTCGAGAATTGCCCAAGTTTGGAAGTGGATTCCTGAGCAACAAATTATCATAGGACAATAATTTTTTTTTTAAGAATCAGGCTTTCAAAAAAAAGTTTCTGGACAGCATTTTAGAGTAGAAGTGTCAAGCTTTAATTTAAAAGGAAAATCGTCGTCTTACTAGAATTTGTTGCTGAGTAATCAGCTTCCAAACTACAACAATTTTCGAGATAAATTCTGCGACACCATAATTTTGGGCAGTGCATATTATACGTGACTCGTATGCGTATGATCGTTCCCCCTAAGTTTTACTGAGCAGTCAGTTCACGTTTCGTCTGTCGAACGATTATGTTTCGTAGGATATGAGATTACGTTGAGTTTCTCGTATGTAAGTTGTAACCACTTTTTCAAGCTTCTCACGAACGCCACTCTATCCTCTGTTGTTAACTTCGCCTATCCTCCCTTTTTTCTGCTCGTTTTAGTTGTTTTTAACTGCCTTTCTCGGGGCTGAGAATGGACCCAGCCCCGTTCCGTTCTCTCGCTTTCAGGTAAACGAAAACCCCGAACGAGATCGAGACAACATATATAAGAAAACTGCTCTAAAAGTACCGCTTACAGACAACGACACACAAATCGATCTTACACAGCGTTTTAGTACTCCCAGAGCAGCCACCCGACTTTATTTCACCGTATATACACATTGGATACAGTTTAAATATATCCACCTTTGAATGTTGTTGTCTCCCCATCAATTTAATTGTTGCAATATTATCGATATTGATCAGTGTACGTACGTACGCAGGTTGCTTCAAAATTGAGAGCACAGCGATGTCTCGCCTGCTGCCGATTTTGAACTGCAACTGTCTAAAGAGTTCGCAAATAGTAATAAGCAAGTTTTATGGTTCCCTTCCAGACGGTCTTCCGTGGGCACGTTCATCAGACAGCAACCGCTTACTTCGTCGGGTAGCAGCAGCGTGGACAGTAGTCGGGGTAGTAAAACCTCGAGCACCGCGCTTCGATTGGACTACCGCAGCATGGTGTCTGTCGACGACATGCCCGAGCTGTTCGCCAGCTTCGATAGTAAGTGTCCTTCAATTATTTTTTTCGTAGAAAATACAAGATATACCTATTTCAATTCTACACATTCTCGGAATGATCGACTCTATTGTAAGATACATTTTATTACAAGACTCCGCTAATACCAAGGTGTTCTTCTCAATCCTATACAGGGTGTTTCATTGCATCTAAAATTAATTTTGTAAAGAGAAGTTTTATTATATCCGCGGCACATAATTCTCTTGATACAAAGAAAGCAAAGAAACACCCTTAGAACGGACAGACAAACTGTAATTAATTACACGTAGAATACCTACATAACACAGAAAACGGCGAACAATGATGGCAAACGGGATTACATACCACGCACTGCACTCGCTCGTATGTATAGACGGCTTTTTAAACGATGTTAGTTTAGCTAGTGCATTTATTAATGTCCCTCTCTTCGAATGTCACAAGCGCTTTTCGATTCAGTCTCTACACAAACTCTATTACAGACAACGAACAGTCCAATTGTTATTTAAATGCGCTTACCTTGTGTAGTTTCGATAGTACTTTCTATGGTTTTTAAATTCTACTCGTTTGTCATTGCCAGTTCTATATCTTATTACTTGGTGTGTCATTATTGTAGTCGAGGTAAAAATATAAAGAACCCAGTTAAACAGCAGGTTTTTCTAGTATTCCTTGCATATCTAACAATAGGAATTATAATGTCAAGCTGTAAGTTCAATAAGACTAGTGCGAGGCTGGTTAATCTTAACTAGGAATTTCATCGTAATGTCAATACCGTAATAAACTATAATAACTATAATAAAGTAATAAGCTTAATTTTTTTATAGAATCAAAGTACAGAATTTTATTTCTTATCACATTTGAGACTCTGATTATTTGAGAAATGCAACGATACTTGTAAGCTCATTAAGTTTACAGCTTGTCATCACGACCCTTATTAGAAGTGGAAGGGATAATCGCAAATAGTAATAAGCAAGTTTTATGGTTCCCTTCCAGACGGTCTTCCGTGGGCACGTTCATCAGACAGCAACCGCTTACTTCGTCGGGTAGCAGCAGCGTGGACAGTAGTCGGGGTAGTAAAACCTCGAGCACCGCGCTTCGATTGGACTACCGCAGCATGGTGTCTGTCGACGACATGCCCGAGCTGTTCGCCAGCTTCGATAGTAAGTGTCCTTCAATTATTTTTTTCGTAGAAAATACAAGATATACCTATTTCAATTCTACACATTCTCGGAATGATCGACTCTATTGTAAGATACATTTTATTACAAGACTCCGCTAATACCAAGGTGTTCTTCTCAATCCTATACAGGGTGTTTCATTGCATCTAAAATTAATTTTGTAAAGAGAAGTTTTATTATATCCGCGGCACATAATTCTCTTGATACAAAGAAAGCAAAGAAACACCCTTAGAACGGACAGACAAACTGTAATTAATTACACGTAGAATACCTACATAACACAGAAAACGGCGAACAATGATGGCAAACGGGATTACATACCACGCACTGCACTCGCTCGTATGTATAGACGGCTTTTTAAACGATGTTAGTTTAGCTAGTGCATTTATTAATGTCCCTCTCTTCGAATGTCACAAGCGCTTTTCGATTCAGTCTCTACACAAACTCTATTACAGACAACGAACAGTCCAATTGTTATTTAAATGCGCTTACCTTGTGTAGTTTCGATAGTACTTTCTATGGTTTTTAAATTCTACTCGTTTGTCATTGCCAGTTCTATATCTTATTACTTGGTGTGTCATTATTGTAGTCGAGGTAAAAATATAAAGAACCCAGTTAAACAGCAGGTTTTTCTAGTATTCCTTGCATATCTAACAATAGGAATTATAATGTCAAGCTGTAAGTTCAATAAGACTAGTGCGAGGCTGGTTAATCTTAACTAGGAATTTCATCGTAATGTCAATACCGTAATAAACTATAATAACTATAATAAAGTAATAAGCTTAATTTTTTTATAGAATCAAAGTACAGAATTTTATTTCTTATCACATTTGAGACTCTGATTATTTGAGAAATGCAACGATACTTGTAAGCTCATTAAGTTTACAGCTTGTCATCACGACCCTTATTAGAAGTGGAAGGGATAGGAATCCTATTTTACTGCAGTTCTTATACCTCGCCCTTGACAATTACCTGTTCTCCACAAATCCGTTCAAATAGTCGACTGAAATATATGAATATTTAAAATGTATGTAATATCCAAACTGGACCAAAAGAATATTTCTTCTATCACGAACGGTTGGCTTAGATTCTGTCACCGTTTCGGTTAACAGAATCCAAGCTACCGAATATTCATTAATTCTAAAGGAGCAACATTATTATATCTTGATTTTGAAACCCGTTATGCTGCAGCTTCAAATTATGCATTTCCTACAGAATTATTCACTATGCGAATATTCCGAACGAACGGTAGCATAACAGGTTTCACGATCGCTTATCGACAATTCCATACTAATACAGTAATGTCATATGTTTTGTTGCCCCTCTAGTCCATGCACCTAATTTTCCCGAACTCGAAGGCCTCGGTAGGTTCATACTGTATTAGCTTGCTTCTCCCCTGTCGTACCTAAATCACCTGTACATCTCCACTTATACCTAGTTTTTCTCTCATTTGTCTGTTGTGCCGTGTAATTTGAATTGCTCGTCGCACCCCAGTCGTCGTTTGTGTATCCCTTGAGAGAACTTCTCCTACTTTCTATTCGATTATCGCCACCTTGTCAACCAACCCGTTCACAATTTCTGTATGCGATATAATACGATCGATACCACTTCTCTAGTTATTGCGTGTCACCTCCATAACGATTTTTGCCTGTTTCAATCGTCACCCGACATGACTTCCGATTGCCGATCTGTTCTCCACCATCCCTCGGCGACGCTGTGCCCGTTTTTCATGTTTCTAACTGTTTTCTGATTTATGCGTTTACCAATGCACCCACAAATCCCATTTACAATATTCGTATAACAGTCTCGAGTTTAAAATACTTCTGTTAAATTATTTGTCTGCGTCGTGTGTGATGCTTATTGGATTCCCCGAACGACAGAGCTTCTTATTTTTATTTTTTCTTTAGAAAAACGTGTATTTAAGTTGATACTGCGTGTGTCGATGATAAGAGAATCGCAAATGTGCGTCGGGATTGCGTGTTAATTAAACGAATACAGGAGAATCAATTAGCGAGATAATTAACAGCAAGGACGAGCGAGGATCGCGATGTTGTAATGAGTTATTCTGTCGCGTTATGTAGAACTGATACCGCGACCTGCCCATTCCTGCGAGGATCCCCCACTGTACCTGAGGCTGCGAACCGGAAGGCCCAAAGACAAGAAGATCCGACGCTCGACGCCTATTATGAGTTACGGAAAGAAGAACTTACGGTCGGAATACTGGTTCAGCATACCGCGCAATAGGTGAGTTAATGAACAACCATATCTTTTCATTAAAATACAGATGATATGAAATTAGTGTTGGGTACTCCACCTTTTCGAGGTACCTCTCGACCGGGGGTTTCCACCCACATTTCTAATGTTTAGAGAAGATTTGAAATAATTCCGAGCGATTTACTTCTATCAAATCTACTCTATACTGATTATCTGTATTGGCTATTGGACTCTAATATAATCAGCGTTCTGCTGAATCGACAAATGCCTGCCTGCTCACATCTAACTTTCGACATCCTAATCTACTCTTTTGTCTATCCTAAGAATCATTATCGATATCGACTTGACTACTTCCGGACCTCCGCCTTATATTTATCCAAGACTTTCGATTAATCAGTTTCTTCGACACCAGCTGAAAATCTGCTTACACAAGTTTGAACATTTAACAATGGATCTACTCACTTCTTTTTCACTTACATTCTGCTAATATCCATTTGCAATTTCTCTCCAGTTTTCCGCATCCGCGGGAGGAATTTTAGAACCGTAAACGGCGATGACTCAGACGCTCCTTTCGCTCGATGAATTATTCTCGCCGATCGTTTCCAACCAAGCGAAACTAGACACATACACTTAGCCATACATCTCGTGTTATTTTTATAATCGTAAATGTAGCTACACACAATCTTGAGGCGAACTGACTAGAACGTACGACCGAGCACGTGGCTCGATGCAATAATCGCAAAATAGATCCCGAGATCTGCCCATTTACTATTTATATACTACTATTACTACGCGATAGCCTCATTTCTTCGTTTATCAATACCAAAACGCGGGTGTCCTGTTTTATTTTATTGATTCATGCTTCTTGAACGTGTTTATCGTCTCTGATGGTTAATAAAAAAGTTCGAGGAAAAACGATAACAACTATGCAATAACATAACGCTCGTTCAAGGGTTACCAAAGATCGATTTTAATACCGAGAGAATAAAGATAAGTATGTACATGTCCAATGAATAATGTGTCATGGATCCGTAATCTTATTTAGTGAAACATTATGACAACAGAGTTTATGCACGTGTAATAAAACTTGAATGTACAGGATGAACCACGAAGCATAATTATTAGATTACTCTGCTGTTAGCGATTCAATCCAAAGCTTTTTAACTAAAATACCCATTTTTTAAACTGATACTATAATAGGCACAATAAATAATACTGGTACCATAAAATAAGGCACAATAAATATTTGATTTTGCATAAAAATCCATAGTTCAGTCATGAAATATGACACATCTAATTCCTCTCATCAAAGTTCTCGCTTTGATACCGAAACCGTAGGTCAGTCAATCAGAATGGTCACGTGACACGGTATATCATCGAATGTGCTTCAAGCACTGGTTCCGCTTCGTGCTCGCATTCCTGATACGTATTAGTCTGCCCGTGCGTAAAAAACGCGTCGCCTCGGAAGAACGTGTTCCTCTCTTCCATTTACACGTGTTGTTTGCTTAGCGCCGTGTTGGTCTCGAGTTCACGCGATTAGATTCGGATTAGATACGACAATCATAATGTATATAAGTTATTTATGCTACTAGAGAGAATGAAACGGCCGATCCCGGTGTCAGAGATTAAATAACGCGATGTAGAATCGTGTTCGAAACCCACGTGAGTTTATTTCTCTCTCCTGCCGATTCTCTAAAGCTCCAAGTAGCTTGAAATAATAAAAAACCTATTTCGAATCCATCTTCTCTGTTAGAGATGAATTTCAAAACAAGCATTTAAATTCAAGTGATTATAAAGTTTTCTGTTTTTTTCCTTATCTACAAGCAATTTTGATAACTTGTGATAAGAAAAGAATGATAAGTGAAAGATATATTGGCTTTTTTATGTACGAAGTCAATCTCGTTTTCAAAACTTTGAAGTAATTTAATTTTCAATTAAGATAAGACTGTTTCCTAAACCAGAATCATAAAATTCTTGCGTAATTTATTTATAATATATAAAATGAAATAGTATATAAAAATGAATTAAAATACTCACATAAGATTCATTGCAGTTCTGATAATAAATGATCTAATATTTCACGTTTTTATGTAAGGGCTTGCTAGTGTCATAGTTTTTCATAACTCGTCGCGGTATTAACTTTGCCCGCTACTTTATTTATTGATCGGCAACCAAGAACATGCCACGCAAATGATAACGAACTCGTGATAATAATACATACACGATACGTGTGATGAACACGTCGTCATGTACATGTGTAAAAATCGTTGCGCGCAGTAGGTCTACAACAAAATTCTCGGTTTCTACCAATTCGCACCTTTCGCGGAGAACCTGTTAACGCGGATCACAAAATTCGAACGAACCCGAGCCAAGTTTCGCAGGTTGTCGCAACAATATTACATGACACGGCAACAAGTGTAGATATAATTCGTGTGTGACTCACCTGTTTTAAATCTAATACTTCCTCGGATACGTCCAACGTGATAACAACTGTCTACGTGTGACTCGCGCCGATTTCACAGCCAGTCCTTCCGTCTTCAATTTCTTCACTTGAACACGCTAGAAAGGATATAGTGAAACGAGGAACGGTTATCGTTCCGTGTTATAAGAAATAATCGTTGATAGAGTGATCCTAAAAAGTGGAGGTTTAAAAATAGTGTGACGTTAAGTGGAGCGTTAAGGTTGACGGCGAGGTGTTTTATGATTCCGTGGTGAGGAAGGGTGAACGACACCGAAGGAAACGTCCTTGCATGGTCGACGACGTAGACGAAACGCGTATCGGTCGGAGAAAGTAGGAGCCGGTCTCCACGCGAAAGAGAGACATCATCGAGTGAACGAACGTGGCACCTGACAAGACGGTGAAATGAATTGGCTGAGTGAAACCGGGAACGTGATCAATTTCGTTTACAATCGGCATGTCTCGGACGCTGTACAGAACGTACTGCCGTTCGTCCATCGAAGGTGAAATTGAAATTCTTCCTTTCACTCTTCCATATCACTGGCAATAAGATATCGAAGAATCTCGCTGCTCAGACTTTTCATTTCTCGCAATTGATCGTTCAAAACGATTTAAGAATGTTAAAAAGATGCTAGCATGTTGAATTTCTTATTATAGATTCCTATTACTATTAATATGACTAAATGACTTGAGTAAAAGCAGAAACATGATTTTTTTCTTAATTGAAATAATGAATGAGTAGAAATACTTAGGATTCTATCAGGTCTAGTAATAATTAATGTCGTTTTTCAATACATTTCCATACACTAAAAAACGACACTAATTATTACTAGATCTAATAATTCACGTTGCTCTACGGTACACTAGAAGCGAAGAAACTTGAGACACTATTAACGTAACAGCTATAATCGTTATCGATGGAAGACGATAAAAAGTGTTTCATAAAACAGGAATGAAAAAGGGAGGAGAATTGACCGCTCGATTCGTTATGTTCGCAGGGTGGACGACCTGTACAGGTTCATTCACGCGTGGGTGCCGTCGCTATATGGAGAACTCGATGAGAATTACTGGCGGGAACAGGGGTACATCTTGGCGGACACCGACACGGATTTGTCGCCCGAATTGTCGCCGCGCGAGGCCGAAAAACCAGGCGAAATCTCCGAGGAAGGAAAATCCCGCAGTCAAGACAGCGACGAGATTGCGGACATTACGAAGGAATCATGGGAGGTAAGTCTTGAATCTTATAAGTAATATCGTCTGATCGATCATCGATATTAAGGATTTATTTTCTCGCACCCGTGCCATCATATCATATATACAATTATTCATACACAATTTTATATATAATTTGTTACATGAATTGCGAACAGATTTACCTTAGTGTTACTATAATTAATAGACTGCGGATTTTTACTTGAAATAAAACATTTATGATATCAATTAAACAAATGAATTGTAAATATGCATATTTCTTTTATCATGTAAACGTTAAAATATTTCTTATATTTTTTAATACGACAGACATACTTCATATTTATTGCCGATATAATTTTTCTATAAATGCATAAAATCCGCTGTCTAATAATTAATTTGCGATGGAAAATAGCCTTGTTCTTTAAATACTTGACTCTATCTATATCCTTAATCTGATAAACATTATGTAACATTCAGAGTGGTTACGTGTACTCAGCTATCGGGTCACTCATACAGACACATTCTTATATACATGATTTATTCTCGCCGATCATCTTCGTGCCATTGTCTTCGTTATAATTTGATACTTCTTTTTCTCACACCTAAGCGTGTGTCTCTTACGTATCCGGGTCAATGCACTCGTTCATCGTCGCCAGCAAAGCATAAACATCGTTCAGTTTACCAAGTTACTTGCATTCATGCAATTATCGCCTTGACATCTACTCTCTTCGCATTTCTCGTTTGATTTATCATTCATTTTGGTTGTCATCGTCATCAACGTGGTATTATCGATTGGTTGCTCATAAGCACAGCTTCTTCTCGCTCACGCACAGAGATCATCATCATCGTCGGATCGCTTCCAATGATCCGAGCACCTCACATCGAATATTCTTTTTCTCATATTTATCCTAGCGAGCTTTATTTTCTGGCCGATCTCTTTTTTTCTCTACATCGGAGAGAGTTAGCGTTAGTTCTGCCACTATCCTGGATCCACGCATCGGGGTCTTTAAACTAAATTCGAAGTTGTGCATCATAGAATCAGCGTTGAAAAAAAATTAAGAGAAATGCTCGATGCGAGGATCTAGGGAGAATATAAATCCAGATAAGTAAACCGCTATAAACGGCCGATTATATTGGCTAACAGCTGATCAAGGCCCCCTACGTAAAGCTGTACAGCATCCTGAAGACGTCGAGCACATCGGCGGATTCCGAGCAGATCCAGGACCCGGAGGTACCGATTACCCGAATCCTCCGTTGACGGTTTATTAAATAGGCACCCAGATTGCTCGATGTTGACCATGATACGCACCCTATCCTCTTAGCTACACTCTGTCACACCCTCTTCTAATTGTTTCGGATCTCCGGCGCACAGTTGTCACGCGATGCTCGATCCAGACCAAGCCCACGTTCATCGTTCCGCGACTCTTTGTTTGCTTCATCGCTTCGTCGCCCGACGGATCCATTGACGTAGCAGTTTCAATGTGCACAACGCGTACAAAGCAGCGGAGCTTTACTCGTTTGTCGATTGATTATACAAAGTAGTTTTCAGTTTCGATTTTATATTCATTCTGTCTTTACGGTCTCCTCCAGACACGATGTTCCGGTAAGATTTATCCGGTTAGATGTCTGTTAGATTAAGGCACACTGAAGACACTGTAACGAAAATACCCTCGTTCCTTCGCCGTTCTTGAACCCGGTCCGCCGGTCGAGCGTTTCCCTGAACGCTTTTAATCATCCCCGAACATTCGACGTTCCCTTCTGTATTTAAAACCCGACCGATGGCCTCTTCAACTAAAATAGCCCGACGGGTGACAGGAATATTAAATATGCGGTTTCTGTGTGCTCTGATTTGGATTTCACTGGCTTCAAATAATTCAGTATCATCGCACGTGGTCCAAAACCAGGGGACATTAAAATGACTGAGGGAAATAGGTTGAACAATTTTACAAACCTTATTCCTCTGTAATTATTATTTTTTCGAAAAGCTCATTGTTTCAAATATTGGGCACAGCTTTTTATTAAATGTCTTAAACTTTTGGCAGAGATCTTATGGCTCATACAACCTTAATTCTGACTTTGAACAGCTGCGCACTGTGCACAGTGCAATGTATGCTTCAACCAATATTGATCTTCCCAAGGAAGTATACTTTACTCCCAATCAATTTATATTCGCATATCTAGCTCCTGCAAATTTCCCGAAAGTTCGTTTTCATCAGAGTCCCTTGACGTCAATGCCAATCGAAAACACTGAGAATGCACCGCGCAATTGAATATCAAAATTGGAGCTTTGATTCATAAAACTCTTTAAAAAAAATTGCTGTTGTTCTGAGAAAAGCACGTTAGTGGGTGGTTATAATCGGGATCGTTGTCCCCAGATAGATAGCCTCTCGTTTGTTATCATGCCTCTGTGAATGACTAATAGGTCTAAAATTGTTCGTCCATTTTATCAATACAAGATGACACGATTTATACAATAATAATCTTTAGAATCGTGTTGATATGAAACAGGTGAAAAATGAGATATTTGTTTTCACTGACTTCCGTATTCATTTGGAAATTGTCCTTCATTCTAAGTACATTCAACAGTCCCTCACCCACGCACTTCGTACGTGCGCTTCTGTTCTGTCAGAAGCTTAATCCACCGTTTGAGTGTTATGTCTGGTATTAGCGTGGACAATGTACTTATATGAAGCGAAATTTCATGTTTCTCCTCTTAGTTCCCGTTTATGTACTTCATATTGCGTAAGCTCTTATATAAAACAATGATAAAACATTCAAATTTAAAAAAATGACACGTTAAAAATTGACTGTGACTTAAAACAATTCGAACAATTATCATTTTCCTGTAAGTATAATTTTCCTAAAAGTTCATCGCTTCAAATATTGGGCACAGTGTTTTATCTCATTTCTTAAACTTTTAACTAGAAATCTTACAACTCATACAACCTTAATCTGTATTTATCTATTTTATTTCGCATCTCCGATAATCCGTTTGCACGAGAGACCAACAATTTCTACACGGTTTTGAACTTTCTGTAGATACCGAAATCGTGTAGGCGATGTTTCCGTCGACAGATTGTTTCATATCAAGTCCCGAGGACGCTTAGGTGGAACGTGTAACCTTCGTCTCTCGGCCCGGTGCCAACATTCCGTTTTCGTTTCATTAGCTTCGCTAAAATTGTCCCGTGAACGAAAAACCATGGCGCCGACTCGTAACGCGTTGAATTCCGTCAGAATAAATAATGAATTCCTACAAATCGTTTCCATTCGCCGGATGTAATTTTCGCATCTCGTCCTCTTTACATCGTTCGACTCCCAGGTAGCATTCGAAAGGTGTCCTCTTACAATTCTTTTATTTTATTCATTCTAAATTTATTCCACGTGACAAAAAACCTGTGAACTAGCACGTCCATTCAGATGATGTCGTCTTCATTCTTACAATTCTTGTATTTCATTCACTCTAAATTTATTCCAACTATCGACTAAAGTGCAATAGGCCACACCTGATTACGTTATCCAGGTGTTACGAAACTGGGAAGGTAGATTGATTGAACCGTTTTGCGTCAAACTACTCCGAGCAGCGATAGCTTTTCCGTTAGATGATTTATTTCGGTAGTTAAACACGTATCGGAATGACTGGTGACCGTTTCTTCAACTCTATTCCAAGTTCATCGTAATTTCTATGCTTTATTCAAGAAGTGCTTACGTATGAAATGTAAATTGACGGTTCCGCGGTCAGCACTGAATGCCCATTAATATTCTTTAAGCGTAGTCGTCGACGTTGTGCGAGAAACACAGTTGGTTTTCAGTGAAACGATGATTAAAAGCAAACAAGACAACTGCTAGTTTCCAAAACGGATTTCCAAAGTTTCCGTTCCAATCATTCATCTCTTACTTCAGATTGGAATAGTTCGTCGGGTCAATAGTAAAACTAATATACATAATAATTAACTAAGTCATTTAATATCCTATTATCTGTCATAACAATATGTCTGCGAATTTTATACATTCATAGAAAAATCGTATTTACAAGAAGATAAAATAATTTAACCCCCACGTAATTTTTAACGTAAGTTAAAAACGTAATTATTGTTATTAAATTATTATTATCATCATTATCAGTTTATTATTCAATTTTCATTCATAAAAACATAAAAATTGCTATGTCTTTCCTTATGACTTATTACGTTCAAAAACAGGTCATTTTGACTCCTCTTAAAGAGTGTTAAGATATTTACTATATTAGTGTGCAAAAACTGATAGATTTAGTGCTAGTCGCCAGTTTTAAGAGATTAGACGAGAGAATATTGTTTTCCGTTATCTCCTTAAGGGTGGTCTACGTGACCGTGCGGGATCGCTTACGCATAACCACTGGAAATGACCATGGAAATAGTCGGTACTTTTCCACGGATCAAGTAAAAATCTGGCTTGTTTGTTTTCCCTATCGCACGAACCAGATATGTGTCCACGGTCGTTAATTAATCTTCGCAATCTGCATACCATTCCTGACAGCAGGCGCGCCTTGGGATGATTCACGGAAGACGCGTTTCATGCAGATGCTCGCGCCTACTTGATACACTAAAGTGGATTAACGATACGTTTGTGGAACCTCCTCTTCTCCCAGTCTTTCGAGATCTTTCTCCTGACCAGATTCTGTAATTTCAGTTTTACTGTCGGTAGCTTCTATTCTCGGCTGTTCTGCGTATCCGTGGAATAGCCTACGTACTATCAATAGTGTCGAATACGGCCAGTGTCTCTCAACCGAATCACTATTTAGATTAATTCTCGTGTTAAGATTAATTTTCCATTTAACCCATTCAAGTCACGTGACCTCCACGGGTCGTCAGGCAATTTTTTACTGTATAAATTATTTTAGGTATTTGTATTCTTCTATTTATTTAAAAGGCTGAGAGAAAAATACCATTTTCTATAATTTTTAGATATTATTGTATTCCCAACTATATTGCCAGAGGATTTAAATCTAATTTCTCAGTCAGCTGTGTAGGCATTTGAATGTGACATCATTGGATCAAAATGTTTCACTGTGCAATATCGAATTTTTATTCTTCACCCGCAAGTCATACTAGAATTGTGCCAACTGTTCGATATGTAAAAGGCAGGCAAACATGGTGAATAGGAATTTTGTTAACGTGAAAATACACGAGACCGAGCGTGGTATTATTATATCGTGAAACGTCAACTGGTCGTCGCATACCATTAACGTGGTGCAAACTTGAGCAACGCAGTTGCCATGAATATTTTACCTTCGCAATGGAACAGGGCAGAAAGTGGAATACAAAATGAGCAACGTTTCTCTGCACGCGTTTCAAATATGAAATAGATCTTAAAACGACGATATTCTATTTTCTCGTGACTAGATTGCGGCTTCGATTGATTCTGGAAAAAAATTGCATGTGCAGAAAATATAAACAGTGCATGTACAAAACTGTATAGAACATCAGAAGTATAATAGACATTATTTTTTTGTTAATGAAAAATTATTGCAAGGATGAGTTAATTTTTTTGGTTGATATTTTATATGAAAAATGTACAGTCATGAGGACGGTAATCTAGAAACTTAATTGATGCCGTGAATTCACATGCGACTGACGATGAAGTAATACGATTAGCAACCGGTATTTTTTTGTTTAAATAACAATCGAGAAATTTTCGGAGGAAATTTCGACGAGATGAGTGTAATCCAAACGGATTAACTGTTTGGTGTTAAATAGACGATAACACGTCTCATGTTTCTTGAACTAATTGTAAGGGTCATGGGACCGTGTCTTGTAAAACTGCACGTGACGTTTGCATGATAAACTGAAAATTAATGCGTTCGATAACAATTGATTCACACGCATACAACATGAATTAATGCTCTTAAAAGATGAGCGTGTCGTCGTCGGATTAAATAGTACACATGAAAAAAACATGCGATCAAGATCATTTGCATAAATTCTCCAATGCCAATAACACTCGACACATTGCTTTCGATTGAGAAATCGCCAAGCGAACATCCCCTCAACTATGCCCTATATTTTTTTTCTTCTTCGAGATTATAATAATAATCGCGAGGAGTTCACCAGTGAGTCAGCTTACGGAGAACAGAAAAACAAAGTGTTTGTAGAATTCGATGATAGTGTTAATTACGATTGAAAACAATCGATTATGATTCTATTATTCGCATTCATATTTCGTTTGCGTTTCGTTTAGTCGAGTCCGGAGCACGTG